CAGCAGTAGCATTCTTTGAAGGGTTATATATTGCCACGAAGGATACATTGTCCTGATTGGTATAAAAATCATCGCTATCCTTTTTCGGTGGAGGCAAAGCATTGAAGTTGCTGTAGGCATCCTTCCACTTTTCTACTACGGCAGTGCAGTCGGGGGTATTCGCATCGACGACCTGAAACGCGTATGTACCGCTGGCAAATTCTTTTCCAGAATCTACGGGGCTGCTCTTCGTCTTGCTTGCCGCTTCTTCCTGAGGGCACCAAGAGAAAGATGATAGTGTTGATTTAAAGACAGCGTCGTTTGTACGATGGGCACGGCTATAAGAGTGAACGACTTACTGGTATCAAGACATCGCAAACGGGCTGCCAAGCCCAGTCTGCTTCGCCTTCTTCCTCCGGGCTTCCACCTGCGGGCAGCCGCGTAAGTGCATCGCCGGTTTTAGCGACAATGAAGTCGTTGAATCCGGCCTTCTTACGAGCTGCGTTGATCTCGGAGAGACATGCGCCCTCATGATCTGCACCCACAGGGGAAAATTAATAGCATATTTGTTTAGCAGCAACCTTCCGCGGCACTGAAATTTACACTCACCACTGGCACCCTTTCGGGTGTGTGCGGACTGTGAAGGGGGTTTGCAGCCAAGGCAGCGCTTCAAGCCTCTGAAAACGCCCTAAAAGAGCCGGCCTACCAAGTGTGACTGCATATTCTGTTTGTTCTCCCGTTGTCTGAGACGGGTCCCCGCTAGCTTTTGCCAGGAGGAAGAGCGAGGCACTGGCGACTGTGAGCAGACGGAGAGCTGGCATTGTTGCCAAATATATGCTGGAGGCCACGAGTTGGACGCCTAAAAACAAACTGTTGAGTCAATCCAGAGCAAAAGCACTCTTCCAATTGTATACGACAGAAGCATGATTGGCACGTGGGCCTCATTAGATTTCACAGGCTCCGAGGCAGTCGGTGGAGGGGTGTCAGCGAGCCGTGTCTTGTTGGCCGCCGACTAGCGCAATTGGAGTCGGCAGCCGATGTTTCGCTTTGCGGAGTTGTGTGGGTATAACACGATTAATATTTTGCATAGTAACTCTGCAGCTGCTCGGGCATGGCTATTAGCAACAACCTCCTGAGCTGCGGACGGCCGTAAAAGATCTGTCTCCTGTAGTTGGCTGCCGACTAGTTTGGCGCAGGCTTCGGCTTGCAGCCGTGTATACACGCATGCGAGATATTTGACTCGACTATTTCCTCATAAACGGCGTGCTAATTAATGCTATTGGCATTATTGTTACATTGACAATTCAGTGGACAGTGAAGGCCTGGACCACTCGCCAAGCAATGCTTCATTGGACAGCAGGGAAAACCTGGCCGAACGAAAGCCGTCTCATCGTAGCCGATAGAGCAATAGCAGGCTTGCCTTTTAGCAGAGGAACCTCTAAATTTACAACTAAACCAAAAAGCCTTAATAATACAATCAAGTAACTAGAAAGCAGCCGCCCTCCCCTCAGGCTCCAGCCCTCCTGGGCACAATGGTACACGGGCCTCAGGCTG